GGCAAGCAAAAAACCTGGAGGCTTTCAAACTAAACGTGGCCCACCTGATTCTTTGAGCTGTTATTGGATGGTGCTGGACAATGAATGTCAAATGTGTTTCTGAGATTCAGTGCCCACTCCTCAACCCCTACCTAGATCATTAGCATGGACAGAGAAGAGTTCTATAGAGTTATTTGTACTAATTGAAATAGTTATTAGGCACAAAATAAAATATATAGAAATGATCTCTGAGAGAGAGAGAGAGAGAGAGAGAGAGAGAGAGAGAGAGAGAGAGAGAGATAGGGCTTTTCTTTCTGCCAATGTCACTGGCCAGCTGAACTGTCAATCACTATCAGGCCAGCCAGTCTCAGTTTTCATTGGCTGTTGTCCCATGTCTGACTGACCCCCCCCACCCCACCCCACCCCACCCCACCCCACAGGGCAGGTGAAGGATGCTAGATTCTGATTCAGCCTGGGAAGAGGGTCCCTCCCTTGAAGATGAAAGCTGTGCATTGCTGCTCCAGAAAAGAGACAGCAGCCGCTGACACCGCAGGATTTCAGTGGTGCTTGGCATTTTCCCCAATGCCTGCTAAGGAACATTGGTGGGGACAGGGTGGGGAGGATATCCTTTTGAGGCAGTGTCCCCGAGTGCCCCAGTGTGGTTGCTGCCCTATTTAGGAAGAGGAATCATGGGATCAGAGGATTAGAGATTGAAAAATTAAAGGGACTCTAGAGATTATCCAGTGTTACCCCTTATTTGTCAGATTAGGAAACTGATAAGCAGACAGGGAAACGAACAATCATGTGGCTTTTCTAGTGATTAGGGAAAAATTCCAGTAGCCTTCAAGCAGCAAATGTACCTAATAGCATTTTGACACACCAAAAATATTGGAATAGAGGAATGTCACACCTTTGTCCAGGTTATGTAATTCTCTTGGTGGCTCGAGCTCTGGACTTGGAGTCAGGAAGGTGTGAGTTCTGACCTAGCTTCAGACACTTACTGGCATCATCCTGGGAAAGTACTTAACCTTTCTCAGCTTCACTTTCCTGATCTGGAACTACAGGGCCTCTGAGGGCCCTTCCAGATACCATGAACTTCCTGTGCCTTAGTTTCCTCATTTTTAAATTGAGGGAATTGGATTGGATGGCCCAGCTCCAAATCTATGATGATATTCTTGACTGTGATATGACCAGGGAGTGGGAAGAGCAGCATTTGGTGAGATGGCAGCTTTTGGCTGAAGTTTGAAGAGACCAAGGTTTATACTTGACCCTGAGACTGATGCCCTTGTTCAGAAACATTCCAACTTCCGGATAGCATCTTCTGATTAGAATAAAATATTTCTATCCTCTCACTTAAAGTATCCCCTCTTATTTCTACTTCTAAATGCATTTCTTATTTTTCCTTCCTTTTTTCCTCCCTCCTTCCCTCTCTTTCTCTTCCTTCCTTCCTTCCTTTCCTTCCTTCCTCTTTCCTTCCTTCCTTCTTCCTTCCTTCCTTCCTTCCTTCCTTCCTTCCTTCCTTCCTTCCTTCCTTTCTTCCTTCCTTCCCTCCCTCCCTCCTTCCTTCCTTTTCTTCTTTCCTCCTTCCTTTGGTTTTTTGGTGGCATTAGGGACTGGGGGTGAGGAGAGGAGCAGCAGCTAAGAAAAACATGGGTTTTTTTCCTCTACAGAGCCACTCAATTTTTCTTCATTTTTGTTCATTAACCCTCAGAATACCAGAGTGACCTATCTAGGCCACTTCATAATCTATTTCCTTGGAAACAAGTATGCAACTGAAGGTTGGGGATGAATCTATCCTTAGAGCCCTGTAGGCTAGAATAGTGTTATAAATATTTCAGCATACTTTTATTAAAATAGCTCTGTTTTCTTATGCTGGGAATAAGCAGAGGCTCCTGGCTTCCACTGTGAGCATGCTGTTGAAGACATAAAACCAATCCCATCCGAATTTATGGGCAGTTGTTAATGAAGAGCCATATCCCCATGCCATGAATAGCTCTAAGCCTCACCTTACATATATTAGGAGAAACTGTCACAGAAAGATATAATTAGAGGTGGGAAATGCTGACAGGGGAACTTGGAGGACCTTTCAAAATGCTTCTGGGAGCTTGAAGTTTCAGTAGTCTACAAGGGACCTGGATTGAAACCAAGTGGGAGATCATCAAGGACCTTAGGGTGGAAGAGGAGGGGATAAGTACTGATTTTTTAACATCTGGCCCAGCCTCCTAGTTTTTACACATCAGGAAAGTAAGATCTAAAGAGTTTAACGGACTAGCCCAAGGTCACGTAGGTAATAAATAGCAGAGTCAGAATTCTCGCCCAGACCCTCTGCTTCATATCCAGCACTGTCTATTGAGCCATGAAGTTTTCTTCTGTGACTTTCTGAGTTAAAACACTTCAATAAAACATAAGATTAGGTAACTGCTAGATTTATTTTCAGTGTTCAGCCTTTTAAATAAGGATCTAAGGCTATTTCTGCTGCATACAGGGGTGAGTAATAAGCAAGCTATTTCACACTGTAAGATGTTAGAAAGCAAGGGTCAAACATACACCCAGGAACGTGGGGACTTTGCCAGGTCCTAATCTAGTGACGTTGCTTTTGTTTCATGGCATCACAGAATTTCTCCGTTGGAAGGTTCTCAGTGGCAATATTTTCTGATTTGTTGGTCTTTGCTCCTATAGGAATAGGGAACTCTCAGGAGAAGAAACTCCCTTTACCAATGGGGGATTAGCATCGTATCTGCTACTTACAGTCTCAGACAGCCTAAAGAATTGGGCAGCTAAGTGACTTGGCCAGGGTCTCACAGACAGTATGTGTCAGACTTCAGTTGAAGTGTTCCCGGCTCTCTATCCGATACTCTGAGCTGCCTCTTGTTCGGCCAGTGAATACCAGGGCGAAAACAAAGCCCTCTACAACCACCTTGACAAGCGGTCACCCAGCCTTTGTTCAAAGCCCTTCATTGAGACAGAACCCATGACCCCTGTAGGCAGTCCATTTAACATTTGGACAGCTCTCAACATTAAGAAGCATGACCTGGTGTCAAGCCTAAATTCACCTCGTTTACAACATCTACATGTCACCCCCAGTCTATAGTAGGGTGAGATGACTGAATAAGTCCTGGCCATACAGGATGTCCCCCAAAATCTTAGTGCGGTTTGAGACTGTTAAAGCTTAAGACTGCACTAAGACTTTAGGGACATCTTATGCTGACCACGTAAATGAAGTGTTTGGGTAAAATTTGCTCTAAAAATAGCTATTTAACTGGTACAATAGAAACTGGGGGGGGGCTAAATCAGGGGGGCATAGATGTAGAAGGCAAGGCTGACTGTAGGGTTAGTGTGGGGAGAGTATCTTTCATCATACCTAGGTTGCTGACTGCAAGGAAAACATTGGTCGAATTTCAGTTTTCTCCTATCCTGTCCCTGTATGCCCTCTGCTGGAGGTGTTAATGAGCATTAAAAAACTCAGGAGGTGGGAAGCATGCTAGGAAACACTTAATGAGGCAAAGCCTGGGTTGTGTTGCAGAGTGGATCTTAAATCTCTAGTAGAAAATTAGCTGGATTTCTGATCCGCCATTACAGAGTTGACAAGGAGAGTGGGGCCCAGAGAGATTAAGCAGCATATTCAAAGTCACAAAACAATGATTAGAACCCAGGACACCGAAAGTCCAAATGAAGAAAAGTCTAAAAACATCCAGATTTGGAGTATGTGTTAAAGATCTCTTCTCATACCCAAACATTTAGCTCTCCTAGTGTTTCCCTTCCCTTCCTAGAAATCTAGAAAATATGTCTCTTCTCATAGGAGTTAGGGTCCCAAGCTTTCTGTAAGGAGGAATGGCTGAGCATATCGGAAAGCCCAATATACCCCAGGCATAAGACAAAAATCAATGCACAGTGAACCATTTGTAAAATGCAACAAAGGGAATGAATTAAAAATGCAAGGAGCCAAATCTGACAAATGTGTGATAATACAAAATATAAATACATAAAAAATGGGGACCTGTTTCTAATTTCACCTATTCCAGGGGTGGGGAACCTGTAGCCTCAAGGCCATATGTGGCCCTCTAGGTCCTCAAGTACAGCCCTTTGACTGAATCCAAATTCACAGAACAAATCCCCTTAATAACAGGATTTGTTCTGTAAAACTTGGACTCTGTCAAAAAGCCACACCCAAGGACCTAGAAGGCCATAAGTGGCCTCAAGGCTACAGGTGCCCCACCCCTGACCTATTCCAAGCACAACAGGGCAAAGTACATCCACTGGCAATTTTGGGCATGAAGAATGGAGGATGAGGTTGGAAAGAAAGTTGAAAAATATACAGGGAAAAGGGAAATCCTATAGCTATATCTTTCCCCCTCTTTGTTGAAATTATCCTGCCTCTTTCATTCTCAAGGAAATCTACAGTTGTAATTACATTAGCCAGCTACTATGCTTTGCCCTAACTAGGTAATATAATTATAACTCTTGCTTCCTAATTATAGGGTTTTCCAGGCTTCCAAAAATCCTACTGAATATGTGTCGCATTCTCACTTGCAGGGTATACACTATGAGGAGATAGTGACCTTGTCTTCAGAGAGGCCCAGGCTGAGAAAAGCTGTGCCTTGCTGGAGGCTGTTTACATTGTGCAAACAGCTGGATGATACTCTGATTTCTGCTCCTTGGATAAAATACTGCTGTTGGCAAGGGCCATATGTTCCATAGCATGCTAGAATATTATAACCCTTCACAACCATTGAATAATGATACAGAGCAAGTTTTTTTTTTTATGATAGTGCAGTCAGAAGCTATGAGAAAGCAGAAAGCTATGCTTCAAATGGCATGGGACCTTCAGGCAGCAGCTGCAGTAAAAAGAACATGTATTTATTAAAACCTACTAAAGGCTAGGCACTTTGTAAGTGCTAAGCTCCTTATAAATATTATCTCATTGATCTTCACAACAACCTGCACTCTCTGGTTACAGGTATTGTTATTATATCCCCATTTTTCAATTGAGGAAACTGAGGCAAAAAGGTTAAGTGACTTACCCAGGGTCACAGAGCTCAGAAGTATCTAAGGCTGGGTTTGAACTCGGGTCTTCTTGACTCCAGACCCAGTGCTCCATTTACTGTGCCAAGTAGCCTCTCTGCAGTGGATAGGCAAAGGAGAGTCATCCCTGAAATGGACATGCAAGTTAACACATCTGGGTCTTTGAATCCCATGTTCACACTTTGGAGCTTTGATATCAGCAGGAAGGCTTTGAGACCATGCTTTCCTTCAAGAATCTCCAGAGGCTTCCTTTTGCCTCCTTAATAAATTTCAAATTCTTTTCCTTGATCTATAAGGCCAACGCATCTTCTTTCAACCTTATCTAACCTTATTCCACTCTATGCACTCTAACTTCAGCTAAAGTAGACTGAGTACTTTCTGCTTCCTGCAGAGATCCTTCCTATCTCTTTGCCTTTGCTGGAGAAGCTCCTTATCCTCTCTCCTCATCTTTACCTGCTGAATGTTCACCCAGGTGGTTGAAAACCCACCCAAAATTCTACCTCCAGGAAGCCCTTCCTTAACCCCCTTTTGTCAGTAATGACCTTCCCTCTTGGACCCTTACACTGCACTTTATTTTGAAGGGCTCTGATGCACCTGCCACATAATATCATGCATCATTTCTGTCTGGGTTTTGAGTCTTACCCTTCTTATGCTGTGAGTTCCGTGAAGGCTAACCCTAATTTAATTTCTAGCACTGTCATCTTGTAGCAGTGTCCTGCATGGAAAAGGCATTTAATGAATGTCCAATGAATGAATAACACATTATCCTCAAGAGGAAGGTGAATTATAACTCCTAATTCCATATCCAAAGGACCGAATGCAGGGGGGAAAGTATATGGTAAAATTAGAATGTAAAGCTTTCATTCACTATCTTTTCTCAGATTTTATTATTGTCCCAAGGCCAAACTTCTGATTGTCACCTTGCTTATGTGAGGGGTATGTCCACAGAATTTCATTTTGCCTTGCTCTTCCTCAAACAACTCAAACCATCTGCCAACTCGAGACATTTTTACCAGCTAGCCCTCATGCAGGAAATGTTTTTCATCCTCATTTCTGCCTCTTAGCCTCTTTCCTGGCTTTCTTCTGATCCCAGATAAAATTCTACCTTTTATTGGAAGTCTTTCCCAACCGCACATCATGCTAGTGCCCTCCCTCTGTTGATTAATTCTGATTTATCCTCTATACAGTTTGTTTGTACAGTTATTTGCATATTCCCCCCCATTAAATTGTGAGGTCTTTGAGAGTAGAGACTGTCTTTTGCTTTTCTTTGTATCCCTAGTGTACTGTATGGCACAAAGTAGGAACTTAGTAACAGTTATTGACTTAACTGGCTACAAGACTTGAGGCTGAGCCAGTGTCTTTTAGAAGGCTGTATATGAGTCTGTGATATGTTGATGTCCTTGGGAAAAGATTCTCTTTGATGAGGAGGTTCCTCTGGGCACAAGGTCTAAAAAGATGACCCTACAAGACCCACAGGATGCAAACAGACTGGGACAGCAAGACACAGTGCTATAATCAGGCTATAGAGAGGGAAATTACTATGTAGCGTGGTGCTCATGTCATTCGTAAACTTGGCATTTTGTCTGGACGAGCATGACGACTACAGAAACAAGTTAAGAGCTCCGGACTTTCTATCTTGCCCTTGGGAACTTCCAGCAAAAAAAAATTCTAAGAAGCAAATGTGCCATGTTCCAGTTTCGACCCCTTGAATTGTGCTTTACCCACTAACTCCACCCCCCTGCTATGACTGGGAGTTAGAGATTGAATCTCATTATATTATAGCCCTCCTTGATGTATAGATTAGTACACTTTGGGTTTAAACTATCTTACTATTTGACTCTCTTTCTTATTATTTATATCTCATGTTATAATTAAATGCTTTGCTATTGGATTTATGTACCTTTGGTATGTCTAACATATACAGTTGAGGCTCAGGCTATGAGTCCTACCTCAAAAGCTCATGCAAAAGCTGGGAATGACCAAGGGGTGCTATGCTTGTAGGGAAGGGAATAGTTTATATTAGCCAATTACGTTGCCAAAAGACAGTCCTTTTCTAACCAATAAAATTACATAGGCTCTAAAGAAAGAGGTAACAAGTAGTGTTATTTAAATACATTCAAAAACAAAGTAGATTCCAGAAACTATAGTCACGTAATGTCAATGTTTGAAGAACTGCCATGTGGAAAAGGGCATAAACAATAAAGGGCAGAACTAAAACCAATAGGTTAAAGGTGCTGGGAGACACATTTTGGCTCAATATAAAAACCAATTTTAAATAATTAGAGCCACCATTGGGGTGAATGCCATCATCATACTTGTCTTGGATGTTGTCGTGGGGATTGTGCTCTGAATGAAAATTAGATTTTAAAATATCTTAGGTCCCTTCCAACTTCAAGATTCTATGATTCTAAATCTTATTTTTAAAAAAAATTTTTAAAAATCAAGTCCTCATAATTTCTAATTGATGAACTTTTTTGACCTCCTTGGATTTTAAATTTGAAAAACCCAGTTGACAGCTCAGATGCTGCTGGAGGGAGTCATTCTGTGACCTTGCACTCTCTGGTTACAAGAGAAAAATTGTCTGGTTTCAAATTACTTTGAGCTAACTGTATATAACATTGACCTTCTGTTACCAGTAACAGAAACTGGTGAGCTACAAGCAGACGGAGGCGAGAAATGCCATTCAAACAAGGACGAGAGAACTCAGCCAGTTATGTGTATAAATCTTAATGACACTCAGAACCCAAGTAAACTCTTAGAACAGCCAAAGTTTGTTATTGATAATAAGCACAATAGAAGAGCTAACATAGGGATCATCTTCCTGCTGTTTTAAAGCTTTGACCTGGGGGAAAATGGTTTCCATGGAAAAATACTTCCTGTGGGTAACAATAATGATCATGCACACAGTATTGTATAATTGAAACCCACTGAGCTTTCAGTCACATTTAGAATCACGAATATGTCTTTGGCATAGTAACTTCATGTGATAGATCATTTCTCTTATTTTGCTGGAAGGCAGAGATAAGTGAGGGATGTGGGTGAGTGGTGAGTTGGGTGCTAACTCAGCTCAATTGGGAAAGGCATAATTAAGGCTGAGAAGATGGTCTGGTAGGGAGGTCAGACTCACCCACCCCAATCTCTAGAATTTTTGCAAATTCATTTTGTAGAAGGGCACTGAATCCTAGTGGATAGTGGGATAGCCTTGGAGTTAGAAAGACCTGGGTTCAAGTCCTGACTCTGAGATGTTCTAGCTCTGTGATTATGGGCAAATTAACTTTTTTTTAAAACTACATTTTTCAATTTTGTTTTTTCCGCCGCTGAATTTTCTTTCAATATGCCTCCCCCTTCCCTTTCCAAGAGGGCCATCCTATATGACAATTTTTTCTACCATTTTTTCTTTTATTCCATATTTCTTAATTACATGTAATTTAAAAAAATAATTGATTTTTAACTTTGACTTTCAAATTCTCTCTCTCCCTTCCTCCTCTACCTAGCTTTGAAAGGCAAGGATTTGATAATAGATTATACCTGTGAAGTCATGTGAAACATATTTCCATACAAATAATAATTCTTAAAGAAAAAAAAGAGGGTATAGAAAAAAATAAGCAAAACTGATCAATACATACAAAAAATTTGAAAATATTGGGGCAGCTAGGTGGCGCAGTGGATAGAGCACCGGCCCTTGAGTCAGGAGGACCTGAGTTCAAATTCTGCCTCAGACCAAACACTTGACACTTACTAGCCGTGTGACCTGGGCAAGTTACTAAACCCCATTGCCTAGCAAAAAAAAAAAAAGAAAGAAAAAGAAAAAGAAAATATATGCAATGTTCCACTCCCATGGACCACCTGCCTCTGCCCAAGGAGTGGGGTAGAGATCTTCTCATGTCTCCTCAGTGGAGCTATATTGTTCTTTGTATGTCTGTAATGTTTGCTGTCAATGGTTTTATTGTTATTATTCTTGTCACTGCCACTGTGTATACCATTTTCTTAGCTCTGCTTACTTTACTTTGCATCAGTTCCTAGAAATCTTTCCATATTTCTCTATAGTCATCCTATTTGATATGCCTTGTAGTGCAGTAATATTCCATGACCTTCGTATCCCAAAATTTGCTTAGCCCATTCTCCAATAGGTAGACAGAATCTACTTATTCCCAGGCAACTCTTGAGGATGCTAAGTTATGAAGTTGCTATTCTATTCAATATGGGGAGTTTCTACATTGGAATTTTCTCACACTAATGAAACCACAGGTCCAGAAGCTCCATCCTCCCCACTTCCCCGTATTTTTTGTCAGAGTAATAACATTCCTTGGTCTCCAGAATGTAATCAATAGCACAGACTCCTCACATGTTTAAGTCAAGTGTGATAAGTGAAGTAATTTATACATATTTTGCATTATAAACCTATAGTAAAGTATAAACTCCTCCAGGGCATGGATTTTTTTTTTCATTTTGGCTTTGTATCTCTAGTATCTAGCACAGTGCCTGGTGTATAGACAGTGCTTAATAAAAATAAATGCTTACTGATTTGAATTGCAGACTCAGTATCTTTCCTGTTCTGGTAGAAACAATATTACTGGGGGCTTTAAAAGCAAAGCTGAATGTGTAAGAGTGATGGCTTCTTGTATCTTACATTATACCACTTGACATTGGGATATACGTTCTCAGAATGCTCTTCTCTGAAAATCTCAAAGTCCTGTAATGATACTAACAAGTTATCTCTTAATTGGGGGGATGGGGATCAGTGTGGTTCAATGGAAAGAGTACTGAGTCTAGAGTCAGGAGACATGAGTTCCAATCTTGCCTCTGACAAATAGATCTCTTTTATGTTGGATAAAGTATTTATCCTTCCTGGGCTTCAGTTTCCTCACGTATAAAATAAGATGGCTGGCTGAAATGACCTCTCAGATTGCCTCTAGCTCTAGATCTGGGATTGTATCAACTTTATCACACAAGTTCTTCACTACTGCAATGGCTCTTTCGCTTATGGGTATGGCTATTCCCTCCAATAGTGCTGATTGCTATCCATCCATGTTTGATAGGTATGTAAATTGTGGTTTTTTTCTACTAATAGAGTGCTTTAAGGGTTGTGAAGTACCTTATACTTTTAATTTAATTTTCATTTAATTA